AATCATGATCATTACTCTCACTATCCTTTCATCATCACCACCTCTCTCTCTCTCTACTCAAAGACTTCCATTACAACCCATTTTACAACTCAAAACAGAGTCCAGATCTCGAGTTACTTAATCCCCAACCCATTTTGTCTCTGTACCCATTGCTTCTCTTTCTCTTATTCTAATCTTCTTTTTCAATCCAAGGTTTCACACTCATTAAGTGTTTGTTTCAATGGGTCTGAGAGGTTGTTCCATTTTTTAACTGAATCGACAGTTAGGTTTTCTTGAGCTGTCCATTTCATGGGTTTGTGCTGTTGGGTTTTTTGGTTCGGGTTCATTCTGTTCTGTGCCTCCAACGAAGTTGTTTTCAATGATCAAGATGGTATTACCATTGTTCTCTTTGTTCTTTCCTTTTTTATTGCATTTCTGGTCACTTAATAGGCATGAAATTATCAGCATTTGGTACTTGAATTGTGTACCTATTTGAACTAAAGCCTCTCTAATTTCTGTGGTCTTGCCTCTTATTAGTTCTATCCTTATATGGGTTTAACTCCATTTTTACTATCATCAATCCCCTCAGTCACATAAACATGTATCACAACCATTGAAGTAAAAAACATCTGTTTATAAGAAGTAATATTACTTCTTATTACTTATCAAAAACATCTGTTTATAAAAATTATAGAGATATAAAAACATGCTTAAAAAAGTAAAAATGGAGTGCAAAATCCATTTTTAAGAAGTAAAACATGCTTTGGGAATTTTGAATTTTTATAATGAGCAGATGTTTTGAAGATGTTTTATAAAAATGGAGTGCAGTAATTTTGAATTCAAAATTTTTTATAAAAACATCTGTAATTTTGATTTTACAAATGTAATTTTGAGCAGATGTTTAGAACAAAAATGGAGTGATTTTGAAAATGGAGTAATTTTGAACAAAAATGGAGCAGATGTAATTACTGCACTCAATTTTGATGATGTTTTTGTAAAATTACTGCACTCTATGTCATTAGTTTTTGAATTCAAAATTTTAATTTTTGAATTCAAAACATCTGTTTTATAAAAAATCAGAATCCATTAATTCAAAATTTTGAAGTAATATTACTTTGGGAATTTTGAATTTTTACAAAACATCTGCTCATTTTTAAAACATCTGCTCAAAAATTACTGCACTCCATGTAATATCCATTTTTATAAAACATGTTTTTATAAGGAGTAAAAATTACTTCTGTTCAAAATTACATCTGTTTATAAAAATATGTTTAAAGCATCTTTATAATGAGCATCTGGTTTACCCTTGTTGTACAGTGATCCGGACATGTGTCCGTGAATGTTGGTAGTTGTTTATTTTCTAGTTTGCATCCTCTTTACTTTGTATATTGGGTTATAGGATGTGTTGGGCGGTTTTGTTTCAGGTTGGTTGAGTTTAGAACCCAAAACTAGTTGCCCAGATTTTTGGCCTGTCCGCTCGAGCGGAGGTTTTGGCGCTCGAGCGGGGAATACACCCATCCAGTATTTGTTAACTATAACACCATCTATTTTTATACAAAACTAATTTGATCATGTATTTAGTGATATCCGATAGACGTGATTTCGTCGGTACCAATCCATGAGTTTATTTTTTGATTTGTATTAATATATGTATATTATTTGTTTAATATTTTTTTTGATAAACAGTATTAACCTTTTAACTTTTTGAATTACTTTTTATCTTTTTGAATTTTTCAAGATCGTCAAAGTTGGCCTAAAATATACATATATTACTTATCATCCATCTCCTCCTAATTCTATACCAAACCAAAGTAGAATCGGTTTGAAAGGGACAAGAAAAGGCAGTTGAAATAACCATAATAAAAAACGACGATGCTACGTAGCTCAAATTTTGTGGCTTAAAAGTGGCTCAAATTGTCAAAACGACGTCGTTTTGAGTACAGAACAACATTAAAATGGCCAAAACGACGTCGTTTTGGACATTTGAGCCACTTTTGAGCCACAAAATTTGAGCTACGAGACATTTTCCTAAAAACAATAGTCTAAAACGGAATAACAAGCGTAAAGGTATGAGTTATTGAGATTTTAACATCATAAGTGAATTTTTTTTTGCATCTTCATATACATATTTGTTTAAATTATTTGAATCTGACTGTCTAAATTATTTTAACTTTGTCCCATATTTGAACCTATCGGTCCAAATCATTTTAACATGTTTCAATAATTTTAACCTATCTGTACAAATTATTTTACTATGTATGCTAATATTTATGCTAATATTTTTACATGTTTGTGCAAATTTTTTGAACATATTTGTTCCCATATTGTTAAATTATTTGTCCCCATGTTGTTGACTTTTGTGTCCAAATTATTTTAACATATGTATGTCAATATTTTTACCTATCTGTCCAAATTTTTTGAAGTTATCTGTCCCAATATTTGAACTTATCTATCCAAATAATTTTAATATAAGTGTCCAAATTTTTTTAATCTATCAGTACAAATTATTTTAAGCCAGGTATATTGTAACTCTTTTGAACTTATTTATCCCCATTAACTTATGTATGCCAATATTTTTTTTTTCTATTTGTAAATTTTTTTTAACCTATTTGTCCAAATTATTTTAACATATCTTCTCATATTCTTAACCTATTTGTCCACTTATTTTAATTAATAAATTTTTACTTATATGTTTAAATTATTTTAACTTATTTGTTTTCAAAATAGAAAAATACGTACATCAATTTGGATAGATAAAGATACCTGAAACTTAAAAAAAAAAAAACATTTGTGGGATTACATCTTTAACATGTCATAACTTTACACTTGGTAATCTATTTTGGACAAGTTTTGTTTTGTTTTGTTTTGTTGTTTTTGTTTTTAGATTTATGCATATGAAACTGCGGAAGGCGATTTTGAGTGATTACTTTCGCCAAAAAAAAAAAAAAATCAATATTAGTCTTATTTGAAAGATCTTAAAAAAATGAATTTACAGATATCAATTTTATAAAGAACAAATTTGAAAAACTCAAGTTATGAGGAGCAACTTTTAATTATTCGAAACGTTCATATTGTAAGGTCCGTTCAGTAGATCATCTATAAAAATAAAAATAAAAAAATAATTGGATATCTTTAGTCCCATGATTAGTTTTTAATTGTTTTGGAAGACATATAGGACCCGTTATAGGTCCTACATTGCTGCTGATTAGAGCATGTTCACAATTGATTTTGTAGTGTGTTCTTATATGCCTTCCAATATGTTTGTTCCTGTTAGCTAGTGTGTTACTTCCACCAAGTAATACAATCGATTGAGAACACACTGTATAGCTAGTTTTCTTTCTAACTATATGTGCCTTCCAAAGGCACCTCAATCGATTGTATTCTTTTCATTTTGCATTATGAATTTGGGATTGTTTGTTCCATTTTTTTTTTTTTTAGAAATGTTCCATTGTATTTTTTAATGTGTTGGATTAGTTTTACTTGAGAGTTAGTATAAATTGCTGATTAAATTTTTTTTTTTTTATGGCATACATTTATGTTTGGACTTTCTAAATGATAATGATAAATTTAAATTTAATTTCAACACTATAAAATTGAAGTCAGTTGGCGAAGAGAAGAGTTCAAATTTGGACAATTGTTGTGTTCCCATTTTAATACTCTTCATGTTGCTAGGGTTGATTTTAATTTTATCGTTTTAATGTGATTGTTAAAATACATTATCGAACAGTCATAATTATATAACCAAACATTTCAGGTTGAAGTACAATAGTTATGGACAATATTACTATTTTCGATCAAGTAAGTTTTTTTTTTTTTTTCTCCCTCCATATAAATTTAAATACCTCTCTTATAATGCAAGGCCTATTTATTTATTTATTTTAAACTTATCATATCTAATTTTCTTCTAATAAATGTTTTTTCCCTCATACTTTATAGGTGGATGAAGACTTACGCCGAACAGTAATATCAAAAAATAAATGATTTTTTTTCTTATTTATGTGTACAAAATTTTATTTATCACTTTAAAGTTTTTGTATATATAGATTCAATTTCTTCAAGAAAGAAATGTTAATGTTGTTGTCCGCGATTAGTGTGACCTTAATACTATTCGCATTCGTGAGGTAAGCCTACAAGTAACTTATATTCGCATGCATTTTCTTATCATTTTAAAAATATATTTGAATTATATACTCTACTTATTTTTTATGGGGAAAGAAAAAGGAAAAACACAAAGCAATATCAAAGGAGACAGAAAAGGCTATCCCTTCTGGTAAAGGAAAGGAACATGCAAATCCCGTAGTATGGTTTCTCAACATTTTTAAAAAGTTTTTTTTTCGAATATTTATTAATTTTTTTATATAGATTTTTGTAAGAATTGCATAGTGTCGTATACTCTTTTTTATGTAGATTTTTATGAGTTATTGTTTTTGAAATATTTATTCAATTATTTTGACTGATTGTAAAATATTTTTCTAAACCATGTTAAAGTAAGCAAACCATGTTAAAGTAAGCATTTGTATTTCTTTTAAATTGCAGAGCACTGGCTGGTGTGCATTATTTGATATTTAATTTTTTTTTTATATTTGATTTGTTTGGAATTATAGAATGTAGTCTATTAAATATATTTTTATAATTGTATTTTAATCTTAAATTTAAATAGTGTTACAATTACATTTATATTATAATTATAACATTATTTACACCGTACCTTCAGGTACGGACATATGCTAATATATATATATAAATAAAAAATAAAATAAAAACACTTGAGAAAAGGCTCAATGGGGACACTACAACCCCTTGTTGTGATCTAATTATTTTATGTCAAAAACATTTAATTTTTTTTTTTTGAACTGGAACACAAATGTTATTAGTAATTAGACCAAAGTAATAAAAAAATAAAAATTAAATTAATTAAAAATAAAAGAATTAAAATAACACAAGAGGTATAGATTATAGGAACACATTTTTCTGAATCCTTTTTTAAAATAAAAAGGAAAAAATCCGGGTTACTCCTGGGTTTAACCCGCTTAACCAAACCAAACAAGCTGTTCTCTCAGCCGGCTCTGCTACAACATTCCCAATGGCTCTCCGGCTCCTCCGGCGATGGACTCCGAACTTGTTCAACCTAACTCGAAGTTTCCGATCAAACTCTGCACTCGAAGCCCTAGCAAAAGCCTCCGAAGAAAAAACCCCAATCATCGTTCTCTACAACTACCCTTCGTTTTCCGGAGCTTTCTCAGCACTCTTCGCTCGCCTCTTCCACTCTCATCTCAACCTCCCATGCCTCATCCTACCCTTCTCCTCCGTCGAACCTCTCAGGTATACATACACATTCTCACAAATTCGCATATACATTCACATGCACACACATTCATGTACATACTTATATTGCAGCTTGTTAATTTTATGTAATATTTATGTTTAGCTGATCCTCATACAGATATTGGGTCTTCTAAGAGCATCTCCAATTCTTAATTATTATTATTTTTGCATCAAATTTGAATGAAAAATTGGTTAAAGGCTTAAAATATGTTTTTAAGTTTGGATTTTTTTAGGATAAGTTTGATGAAAAAAGATAGAGTTAGGATTGGAGCGTTGCATAACACTATTGCTTGGCATTTGACATGGTAAGCATGGTATTTGACATATGAGAATGATGCTTAGGAACATTTCATCAAACACTTGGTGTGCACTCAAAATTGACACATTTATTTATTTATTTATTTTTTTTATATATTTTTTTTTGCAAGCACATTTTAAGGTTAATTTGGTGAAAAAAATTGCCTCTCCATTGATTTGATACAGATTTGTTGAAATGGTTGGAGTGCAAGTTCAGCCATTTTTTTCATCAAATTTGAATTTGATAACAAAATAGAAGGACTGGAAATGCTCTTTTTGGGCTAGAAGAGTCAGCACCAATCATTTCACCAAATCAAGCTCTAACCAAATTTTCACCAGTCATATTTTTGCTCAATCTTTATAATTTTCAGATTAATTCACCAATTCCCAACAAAATTTTAAAAAGAGTAAGGATTGGTTATGGTCTTCTTTCATAAGAAATGGTTAAAACAAGTTTTTAGGATCACTTAAGATTTTTTCAAAAAGATTTGATGAAAAGAGAAAAGAGAGTAGGATTGGAGTGTTCTATATCATATAAAAAATCTAACCAAATTTCACTCAAATTTGATGAAAAAAAGAGTAATGTTTGGAGATGCTCCAAGGAGTCTACATTTTAGTGGAAAGAATAATTTATTTACTTCATATTCTGTACTTATGTTATCTTTCCTCAGCCTTTTGAGCAGCCAAACAGTTTTGTTTACCCGTTTTATTATTATAGTTTTCAAAATAATGTAGGGTTGAAGATTTGTGTGTTGAAGGGATCAAGAAATGCTACTTTCTTGATTTTCTTGGGCCGAGAGGATTTGCGGCGGAACTTTCATGGCGAACTTCATGCGAGTAAGCAAACATTTGTGTGTTAATTTGATTTGAATGGTGGTTTTGTTGTTTGATTTCACTGCTTTTTTTGGAGTATATGGTCACTTAATGTGAAGTTGGTTTAATTAGGGTGATTGGGTTCGATCATAGAAAATCAGTGCTGTCCAAGATTTCATCTGACCATGATTGCAGTGGGAACCTCACATTTCATGTTGATATTGAGAAGAGCAGCTCGACTGCTGTGTATGAATACTTCTCTGCAAAACTTTCAGAGATGAGATACGGTGATGTGAGTACAAGTGCAATTATTCTCTGTGTGTGCTTTAACACCTAATTATTCTGGTAATATAAGGTTGTGTTTGCTTGTGGTGAATTGGGATCCCATTCAATGATTCAATTCAACTGAATTCAAAATTCCAAATATCATTGGAGTGTGGCATTCACATTAAATGCAGAAACTCTCGTTTCATAGTGCAACAAAGTAATGTTTCTCAAAAATAAAAAATAAAAAAATAGAGCAACAAAGTAATGGAATTTAAATTGGGCCATTTTTTTTCGAAGCAACCAAACACAATTGGGGGCTATCTTTTCTACCACAGAATTAGAGATAACACAAAAGGGAAATTATTTTTATGGCTTTGAGGTGTAAGGAATTTGAGTTTGAAGACAAATTTAAGTACATGAAGTGGCCAAACATTTGAATTGCAAACCACAGTCCCAATTTCATGCAACCAGCTTAAACACCAGTGTTAGGATGAATATTATTTAATTATTTATCTACATTTTTTGTGTATAACAGGGCAATGTCAAAAGTTTATTAAACCCAAAAGATCGAGATCGCATGGAATTGGTTCTTAAGTACATTGAAGATGCAGATCTTCGCCGATGGATTTTACCAAACATTAAAGATTTTAACATTGGGCTTGGTGAATGGCGTTCTATGTTGAACTGCATCACTAATCCACACATGTATGAACAGGTTCAGTGCTTCAAATTTTGAGTTTCTACTTGTATTTTTTTTAAAGAATTTATTTTGACTAGCATATTGTTTAATGTTACTGTTCTTTTGTTTGATATTCATGCCTAATGTTTTTGTCTTACATGTGAGATTTTCTTAAATAGTAGTAGAAAAAGAGATGCGAGCTCGCTGCAATGTTAACTCCAAGCCTGCTGTCTATTTATATTATCTGTGTTGTATAGCTAAAAAATTCATCAAAATCTATTTTTTACAACTATTTGTAAGAGACAAGCAGATTTCTAGGAAGTGCAACCTCTCTTGTAGAAATGAGCAGCCATGTTAATATTTTTTCTAAGGGTAATTTTATTTGTATACCACAAAAAATCTCAGTACAGACCATTTATGCCGTTCGGATATAAACTTTTGTACAAAAGTCAAATGTTGGGACATAAACTTTTGAACAAAAAACAGTTGTTCGAATATGAAAAGTTGAACGGAATGTATATCTGAACAATTCATATTTGTTCGGAAGTTTATGTCTGAACATTTGACTTTTGTTCAGAAGTTTATATCCAAACGACACAAATGGTGTGCACTGAAATTTTATGTGGTGTGCAAACAGAATTTTACTTTCTCTAAACTGATTCATGCTACTCAGAAGCAAACGTATAAGCAGAGATATGTTCAGCTGTGTGCACTACTTATTTATTTATAATCTGCATCTACAGGCTGAAGTTAGAATGAATTGTCATATGAATCACTTTTTCCCTTTCATCTATGGTTCTTGTGCTTTAGTTTAGAGTTTTAATGTCAGTTCTTGAACTTGGCTCAAACTGTCTATTTTTACAGTTATTGGAGATAAGCTCTGCAGTTTTAATTGGCAAGGGAATTTCTTATATATCTACTCGGCAGGATGCTGCAAAAAAATTGCTGGATAAGGTTTTCAAAGTTCGTTTAGGCAAAGGATTTTATGGGGAGTGTCTGGTAAACTAGCTATGCTAAAGCGCTATCTTTCAACAACCACAATAATTTTAGTCCTGGTATATTTTGCTTGAGACTGTTGTCATGTGGCTTTTATGTATAATGTTTGTCACCTGAAGCCCTATGTAACTTTTGGTTTCAACATTTGTCTTTAAAGCATATCTACCTCATTAGATGTTGGAGATGCTAAACTTTTAAAACTTTTGAGTTCTTTCTTGTTAAAATGATTATCATTCCTCTTCTTCTGTTAGTGAACAACATTTTTACATCTTCTTCAAATGTTCAAGCAATTTTTGATTCCATGAATCTGGTCCTTAGGGAGTAAGAGCTGATGGAAATTCTAATTTAAGTGATGAAATTGGTAAGGAACTTAGCATAAAGAGTGCTGCAGCTGGATTGAGGTAAGTTGCTATTGGAATAGATGTTATTGACTTAACTATATTATTTATTTCTAAAATGATATTTTTGGCATGTGAACTGTCATCAATCTATCTACCTAAGTGTCAGGTCTTTTTTGATGGTTCTATACTAGGTCATGCTTTATGTAGCATCAATTATCTGTACCTTGAAGGTTGGCTGCATTGCTATTTAAATAGTTTCCTCCACTCACAGTTGCAGATTGCGAGTTAGAACATTTCAAATTTTAACCACTCTTGAGTTTCTAAACGAAGAGCTTTTCTTATCAAAATACTAAACATTTTCTTAGATTATTGCTAATTAATGTGCAATACATATCTTCTTGAATATGCGCATTTGTCATGTCAGGCCCATAGGAGCTGTTGTTTACATGCAACGTAATAATCTTAAAATGTGCTTAAGGAGTACCGATACTGCTACTGATACCTCTGAAGTTGCAAAGGTGTGCATGATGATGAAAAGTGTTTTTTTTCTTTTTTTTTTTGGTTCTTTCTACCTCCCTTAAGATTGGATGTTTTGGGATCAGTTTTAATCGAGTTTGCATTGCTTGTTTTAAACATAAAGGCATATGGTGGAGGAGGTTCCCCAAGTTCCAGCTCCTTTATAATAAGGATGGATGAGTATAACCAGTGGCTCTCAGTACACCAACCATGAAAACATTAAGGTATGTCATTATTTACCCTTTTTAGACAGCAGTAAATTGGTTCTTTAAATGTTGTAATCCATGGAAGCATTTCCACTGACTTGTGCTACTAGTACCTAGTCATCTGAATTCCCAAACAATTCTCTTTACAGAATCATTTACTGCGGCTACTCTTATTCTCTCATATCTTCTCATTTATCAGTAGCTATCTTATGTTTATCAATGTCATTGTTTCACTCCTTTGAATTGTGTAAGAAATGATGTTATGATATTTTTTTATTTAATTTACCCCCTTATGATCTTACTAAATTCTCATTAAAAATGTGGAGGATGTTGGCCAATGACTCCTAGATGTTCCAATCTATACATTTGATTGGCCACATTATACTTTGTGTGTGTGCGTTTGTACACTTTGACAAAAATAGAAAGTAAAAGATTTCACAATTGTGCTCCATTTTCTTATCAGTCTGGGTACTTGTGAAAATAAAATAAAATGAAAACTTATCAATCTGATTGCATTTGTCTACTTGTTCCCTTTCAATCTTCCTTTTCTTTGATTAATTAATCGCTTGCATTTTTTTTTTTTTGTCCATGTATTTTGCATGAATATCATAAATAGCTCTCATGAAAAACATTTCTATTCTGCACCTTTCTCTAGTTCAGCGGGTAAAGGCAGAAGGATGATTAATTGGTGGATATGAGAGGGTTTAGTTTGGCTTTCACATATGCGTGTGGGAGAAATTAGAGTTGAATATGATATATGTACACTGATTTTAACAGCCTCAAATTACCAGCAAGATTGATTGAAACCCCCAACCAGGCCTCCCCTTCCCAAACAGAATGGAAAAACAACCCACTACTGCCACTGCCACTGACACCATGAAATCAGAAGAAGGAAAGATTAACTGAACATGGATATAGCTAACAACAATGTCATCAAAAACAAAAGGAAATACCAAAGAAAGAAAAAAGTTGATATATTCTTACTCCATCATGGGCATGATCCTGGATTGTTAAGCTTGTCGCCCAAATGCATTATATATGCGCAGCCAAGCATCCGATTGTTGAACAATTAGCACAAGATTCATTCTAAGCAGTAAAAGTTCTTGACTGTTCAATTCTTATATTTATGATTATGTGTATAAGTGTGGTTATATAATACAATCATAACCAATAATATTGAGATGTGTTAATTAAATTGTACGATTTTAAATTTTTCGGTTCTTGGGTTGGTTTAGGTTACACAGTCACCAACCAGAGAACCGAACTGATTGGTTGGTTCTGGGATTTTTGGACCCAAAATTGAACCGAACCAATGCTAGAGCTGAACTTACACAACCCATAAAGGTTGATTTGGTTTGGTTCTTTTGTGCACTCATACTATTTAGACATCCACTTAGGTTCAAAATGATATAATTTATACATGCATATGTAATTTACATAAATGTATGTAGATGTCCTGATGAGGAGTTTTTGCCATTATATTTTTTGAGTTAAGATAATAGTTGGGCGTTGTGATTTTGAAATGACCAATCATGCTTCTTGGGAAAATGGAGTCAGCTTGTGCTTTTTATATTGAGCTTGGTTGCAATTCTTCCCACTTTGTTTTTTTAGTTCTAAAGATTGGAGAGCGGTTTGTGATTTGTAAGTGATTTCTTTGTTTGTTCTTCTTTTATTTTTTTTGGTGATGTGTTTGCATATGTAGAAGACTACTTGTCCTCTTTTTGTATCTCAAAAAATGTCCTTTTTGTTGTATAAAAAAAAATGTTCAACTTTGATGGAACATATTTGTTGCTAATAAAAATAATAATAAAAAATATAAGCTGCATGTTAATCTAAGAAGCACGGACACTTCTAAGAAGCTGACGTATCCGTGTCGTGTTCGTGTCGGACACCGACACTCTTTGGACACTCTTAGGACACGTCTGACACTCTTCAAAACGTGTCCTATTTTTAAATTTTTTTTAAAGATCCAAACACTCTTTGAACATTTGGAGGACACATGTGTCAATCACTTAAACACATGTGTCTATCGATTAGATACATGTGAAATTAATTATAAACTTGAATACAACAATTTAAGATATAATAATAAAACAAAACCCATATAAATTTATAGAAATTAGTGTCATATTGCATTTTATATTATATTTGAATGATATATTTATATATATAATATATAATATAAATATATAAAATTATATATTCCATGCGTGTCCCCCACGTATCGTGTCCTGTATTTTTTGAAAATTAACGTGTCAGTGTGTCCGTGTCGTATCCGTGTCGTGTCCATGTCCATGCTTCTCAGATGTTAAATTCTCTCATATCTTCTCATTTATCAGTAGCTATCTTATGTTTATCAATGTCATTGTTTCACTCCTTTGAATTGTGTAAGAAATGATGTTATGATATTTTTTATTTAATTTACCCCCTTATAATCTTACTAAATTCTCATTAAAAATGTGGAGGATGTTGGCCAATGACTCCTAGATGTTCCAATCTATACATTTGATTGGCCACATTATACTTTGTGTGTGTGCGTTTGTACACTTTGACAAAAATAGAAAGTAAAAGATTTCACAATTGTGCTCCATTTTCTTATCAGTCTGGGTACTTGTGAAAATAAAATAAAATGAAAACTTATCAGTCTGATTGCATTTGTCTACTTGTTCCCTTTCAATCTTCCTTTTCTTTGATTAATTAATCGCTTGCATTTTTTTTTTTTTTTCAATGTATTTTGCATGAATATCATTAACATCCATATTCAAAAGTAAACCTACTATAAAACAGTGAAATCCATATGGAACTTACACAACTGGGAAAAATAAAAATAAATAAATCTGTATGAAACATACAAATTCCCATGTGGTGCTGTGTTTTTTCTGGCCATCATGTGCCTTGCTAATTTTATGCTGTGAAATTTTGAGCTAAGAATTTGCATAATATACAAGAATTAGTGCATCAGTTCGCTGGACAACCATCTGCCACTATGCCCTTAGCTGTTGGGCAAGTTGCCAAGTCACAATGTTCACCATTTGTGCCCCACCAAGTGATTCCTTTATTCTCCATGCCAACTGACAAGTATAGCAGCACAGCCATGAAAGCCACCCCTGCGTCCAGAGCCGCTGAAAGAATATAGTTGTACCTTTGCCACCACTTCTTTCTGTAACGAAAGATGAAAAAGTTGAAAATTGTTCCAACTAGGATCCACGAATTGTAATTAACTGCTGTTGCTGGTGGCATGTAAGCTGTTGCTCCCAAAAGGACTGGAAGGTTAATCAGAGGAATCCACGACTGCTCGGGAAATGCCTTATGGAAGAGCCAAACGATAATTGGTCCCACTGCACCTCCAAGAAAGAACCAATTCATGGAACTGTAGTTTCCAAGGCTTCCAAAAATCCGTTTAGGCCCTACTAGACCCCATATAACCGATGCGCCAAAGAAGACCCGATCACGAGGGCATGTCCACGGACTGTCAGCTGGAAGGAGATCATCCTGGCATATGTTCGTAATAGAGTTGAGCAGCCACCATGCCACTGCAATGTTTATAGTACCCGCAATGATTGTTCCTATGAACTGTAATATGAGTAATATATGTCACAGATTGTACGGAAGCAAATGTCTGAAATAATTTCTAAAAGAGAAGGAAAACTATCCTTGGAATGATTTGCAGTAACAATAAACCTTTCAAGTTTGGGTGAAACTATTGAATAGCTTGATATACATTGAGGAACAATTTCCTAACAACTTAAGCTTTTGGGATAATCTAACATTGTATCAAAGCTAAACCTTTAGGTTGGCCGTGTAGTAAAGACTTGAGAGGATACGATCCAAGGTCTCGAGTTCGAGTCAACCCAAGGGGCCACTTGAGGTTTGCCTAGTCATTAATTTCAAGGCCCTGGGATTAGTCGATGTGTATGTTATATAGTAGTGTGAATGCTCCTACCACTGACTTTTCATGGGGAAGTATTTCATTTAATCCCACAGCATTTTTTTCTTGCAATAAGAAACTATTTCTATGTACTTCTATTGCAGCATCAATGGATTATTATGTTTCTAGTGGTCCTCACCGTACACAAATATCTAGATGCTGAATTGTGAACATATGTGGCAGATTTGTATGTGTTCTGTTATATATATATATATATATATATATACGGTATGTCTAGGGAAAATATAATTTACCTGAACTAAGAACATTGATCTTGGAGGGATCTTCATGTAGTGTCCAAGCTTGAAATCACTGAGGAAAGAGACGGCCTGAGACATGCTCATATAACCATAGACTTTGAAGCACACGTTAGCTATTGGTCTTCCTGGATATATAATACCCATGACATACTCTGTGATTATGTTCAGGCCTGGTGTCTGCGTATAAAATATTAGAGCATTAGGGGGGGACAGGAAACAGATTTCACGTCAATGTCTAGGAAAATAACACGACTTTGATTTTAGAGACAAAAAATGTTTTAACAATTGCAGATTTCCTATTTGTTACAACTTTTTAAATATAATTTTACCAGGGCCTGAAATGGTATTTTGAATTCTTGGCCATGAGGCTTGAAATGGTTTTACACTAACAGAACATTATTCATGTTCAGCTTGTGCAGGGTAAGGAAATGATACATTATTTACTTATCATGATGCAAAGCTAACACATAAATGAAGGGACTAAAAGAGACTGCTCAGGCACCTGATTTGTTGTAGCAGTTATGATGCTGATTGGAAGGGTGAAAATGAAGGCGATGATGCAAGCAAATATGAGTCCCCACCATGGCATCTGAACCTGATTGTTCAAGAAGATGCAAAGTACAAAAGAGGCTGCAACTGTCACTCCAAGCAACACGTAAAACCACCAGGAAGGTATGTCCTCGTATTTTCTCATCAATCTTGTATGGATATCCTCCTTACCAGTGTACGAAGCACGGAATCGATCGTATATCTCCCTGTCGAATCACCATGAATGCATTTCTTATCCAAGTGTCAAAAAATACCGAAAATGAATATCAAAGTGCCTCTTCTTTTTCTTTTCTTTTCTTTTTTCTCTTCCTTCACTTGATCTTGTAATCATATATGTATGAACATATATTTATCTTATTAGTTATTAGTTTCATGTGATAACATTAAAGAACATGTGGAAAACTGAGAGTTCATAAAAATTATTGAAATGGTGTTCAGTTTTGAAAACTCTCATTTGGGTAAAAATGGAAATTTAAAGAGTCTTGAGAATCCACAAAGCCTTTTGGGGTTTGGGAACATAAGGCCATTGTTGGTATTGTTTTTGTTTTCCATTTTTTTGTAGCAAAAAACAGTTGCCAAAGTGTTGAATGTTTTAATTGGGTTTGTAATGATTAAAAGGCACAGGAAATATAAGATATGGATTGTGCAAGATAATATGTTGTATGTTCTCATCATTTTCTATGTTCTTGCCTATCCAAAAATAAAAAATCTTATTCTTATCATTGATACATGTTCTCAACTTGGGATTTGTACAAATTATTCACACAAAAATTTGATTTGAGTTGGAGCTCATAAAAATGTGGGGAAAAAAACTTGTTTTAATGATGTAGTCATGCCGTGATGCTGACAGTAATATTGTACCTAAGGCACCTTTGGATAAAGTGTTTACCTTCCATAGAAGAGGCCCACATGCGTAAGAGTGGATGCAATTGTGGCAAAACCAAAACCATAAGTGAGTGCAAAAAACATGCTTAGATGTAGCCGTCCTTGCTGCTGATACTGAGCCATATCTATCTCAAACTTCTTGTTCACAATAGCTGATATGTTATACCTCTGACCTTGTGCAGTGAACAAGTGTGAGGAGAAGATGGGTAATTTATTATTTTTAATTAAATTTAATTTATAATTTATAATTTAAATTTTTTATTTAACATATAGTTTTAAATTAACAACACTAAAAAAATAATTTATAAATGTTCAAAAGACTATTTTATCCTTTTCTAATTATTCACTAAGTAATAGCATGGAGGGTAAAATGGATATTTCACAAAATAATCCCATGGTTTCTATCCCACACCCTCCATGGGATAGGATAGTCCCATGTTTGTGGGACTAATAGTCCGGAGCAAAATTTTTCAAACAAACAATGGACTATTATCCCACCCTCTTATCCCTCAAAACAAACATGCTCTAAAAAGTAATGTTAAAGATCCCAAATATTCTACAAAAAATTTTACCAAATGTGTCACATGGGTGTGGGACTCACACAATGTGGGTCCCATGTGGGTCCTACACCCATGTGAGACATTTGGTAAAACTTTTGGTAGAATTTTTGGGGTTTTTAGCATTTTTGATGTTTTAATTGGGTTTGTAATGATTAAAAGGCACAGGAAATATAAGATATGGATTGTGCAAGGTACAATGTTGTATGTTCTCATCATTTTCTATGTTCTTGCCTATCCAAAAATAAAAAATCTTATTCTTATCATTGATACATGTTCTCAACTTGGGATTTGTACAAATTATTCACACAAAAATTTGATTTGAGTTGGAGCTCATAAAAATGTGGGGAAAAAAACTTGTTTTAATGTAGTCATGCCGTGATGCTGACAGTAATATTGTACCTAGGGCACCTTTGGATAAAGTTTTTACCTTCCATAGAAGAGGCCTACATGCGTAAGAGTGGATGCAATTGTGGCAAAACCAAAACCATAAGTGAGTGCAAAAAACATGCTTAGATGTAGCCGTCCTTGCTGCTGATACTGAGCCATATCTATCTCAAACTTCTTGTTCACAATAGCTGATATGTTATACCTCTGACCTTGTGCAGTGAACAAGTGTGAGGAGAAGATGGGAAATCTTTTAGCACCGTACAAGTCTAGGCCCCAATAGGATATGGGGATTGCAATGTAGACGATCAAGGTGTACCCGAGGAAGACATTGACAATGGAAAAGAAAGGGGATATGAGAGGGCTGAACAAGAAGGATGCAACAGCAGTCCAGTCGAGTGTTAGTGCTCCGAGTCCAAGGCCTCTCATGCCCGATCCAATCTGTTGGGCAGTGACCGACTTGGAGAAAATCCAGCAGACCCATGAGATGCTTGTGAGTGTTGTGAAGAGGTATCCAGGGACCAGATACCAGGAAAAGCTGCAAAATAGTGCAATTAGGAAGAACTTTGCCCTTGACATGCGTGCCTCGTCTTTTTCATGCAAAGCCCTGCAAATTTGAGATCAAACATTTCCTCTTCAGGTTAGTCAGTTATGGAGAACACGTGTATCAGTGGACTATATATATATTGTTCTTCTTTGTTTCCATAATAATTTTGCTGTTTGGGGGTGCACTTTGAATACCTGATGGGTTGGTGTTACATGCATTAATTAGTGTACTAACAACTATACTAATATTAGTTATGATATTATTATTGACTTTACTCATCATACAAATTATAAATCCGAATTTTTTTTAAAATTATGTCACATCATCAATTGGTATATTAGTTAGTACACTACTTGATACATATAGCATTATTCTACCTGATGTGATTATTGAAGAAAAATCTTTGGTTTCATAGAGAGAATGAGAATCACATTATCAGGAATGCTATTCACTTTGTTTGGTTTTGGTTTTCAAAAAATTTTATTTTATTTTTTTCCGTATTTTAATGTTTTTAATGAATTTTTTTTAATTTTTAGACACCTAACATAAATACATTTAAAAAGTATAATATTTGTGAAAAAAGCCTTTAAAAAATGCACTAAGGGGTGATTTGAGATAATCTAAATAAGTGCACTTTTTGATTTTTTACGAAAAGAGAGGTGATGTGATGGAAAAAAGATAAAAAGTGTGTACTTATTAGTACATCCCAAAAAATACAAAAAAAAGAAAAGAAAAGAAAAGAAAATTCAATATATTTTTCGTATTTTTTTGTATTTATTAATTTTTTAAAATATTTTTTCACAAATATTTTACTATTTAGATACATCTAAGTAAGGTGCATCTAAAAAAAATAAAAAAATTGTTTAAAATTTAAAAAATATTCACTAAAAACAAAACAAAAAAATTTTAAATTTTCAAAAAAAATGAAATCAAACACATTGATTATTAGTAATAATATTCATGTTTAATTCCGATTCCAATGTTTGGCTAAGTTAGAAATCCTCAATCTACTTGCTTTATTCTTTAACAAGACAAATTTTTTTAGGACTGGAGTAGAATTCCGTACTTAATGTGGAATCTCATTTTGTCTAAGGAATCAAACTAGGAATCACGTTTTCATTCCTGAAACAATGGAATAAAGAGAGTTGAAATGCAACTCGTGGTGAAAGGGATTCTTGCATTGGGATGAATTACAGGTTTGGTTTAGTCGTAATTGATATAAGTGATTTGTAGGTATCAAAGATTTACTTGGCCCACCATACGAAGAAATAGAGCAATTAATTTGGATAGGGTTTAGGAAAGTCAAGGTCAGCATGACAATTTCAATGATCAAATATCACATTTGTTGAAGTTGAGAAATTTGACTAGCCTCAAATCTGGATCCACAATAGCAGTCTGTGTCTGATATGGATTGACATTACCATTTTTATTAATAAGTTTTTCTTAATATATATATATATATATATATAATATTTGAGAATACCTCATGTTTTCAATAATTTATAAGAAAAAAAAGAAAATAAGTTTTGCATGATGTATTTGATGTTTTAAATATTTTTATTAGTTTTCGAATTCAGAAATATAGACTTAGGCTATGTTTGGCATGTCCATTTGGGTTAAAATAGCCATATATAACAAAATTAATTATTTTAACGAAATAAGACAAAATATCACATCTAAATCATAATATTATCAAAAAAAATTATCCCAAATAAGACTTTTTAATTCCAGGCTAAAATAGTAAAAAAAAATTAAAAAAATTAAAAAATTAACTCACATTTCAAACGAAGACTAATAATAATAAAATGAAAACAAGGTCCCCAAAAAATAATGTTTGTGTTTTTGAATTCCTGATTATTTATATTTTCAAAGCTCAAGAAGCCAAAACAAAAATAGTGAATATGATAACCAAAAAGGCATTAGATACTTTTTTTATTTTTTTTATTTTACTGAAACATATAGTTCCAATTATTCATAACCTTAAAAGCAAAAAAGATAATAAAAAATAAAAAGTAAGAAAGAAAGAGAGAAATTCTCCCACAATGGCTTGAAGTTGATGAGTCCTATTACAGTCACATTTTTTTTTTTATAATATTTTTTATTGCTTACTCACTGTGAGAGTAGACCACACATCATCACATGTTAGGATTGTTTTGTGCAATTTATAAATTTACAATTCTTTACAATATTTTATTTTGTGCAAAATTCTATTAATTAAATTTTTTATTAGAAGCCACTACCATTTGAGACTGTTTGGTGCAGTTTTATAGATTTATAATTTATTTTGTTTTTAAAATTTTATATAGTGTTTAATATAATTTCTATTTATAACTTATGAAAATAAATAACTTATATAAGTTAATTATTAAAAAATAATTTTATTTTTTATTATTAATTTTTAATTTGTAAAAAATTATATCAAACACGGTGATTGAATGGGACTCCAAGTCGGCAGACTCGAAGAGAGTGTGAAGGTGGACTCCACAAAAGGCCAATCTTAAAAAGATTCTCAGTTTGTTTATTTATTCCCTTTTTTTCTTAAAATCAAAAAAACATGCAACGTATTGTTAAAAAAAAAATTAAAATAAAATAAAAAAACCCAGATTACAAAATATGAGATCGATCTCTCTACAGTTGTTGACTGCTCCAAGTTGACTTTAATTAATTAAGAATGCATGCAAATTGCAATATCTCGTTGGGCAGAAATTATCTAGTTGGGGGACTAAATGCCAGCTGTTAATGATCTGTTTGCATGTATGAATTAAAAATAAGAAAAAATAAAATGATCTGTTTGCATGTGACCACCCTAAATATATGATAAATAAAAAACAAAAGTATGTCCTATAAGAAGAATTATTGGTTGGTCTTGCCGTGTCACCTGATCATATCTTACGCCAATCATATTTTATAATATTTCTTTATTTTCTTCAATTACTCAATATAAATTTGTAGATTACACTCCTTCCACCAATCATAATACTCTTGTGTTTGGTTGGAAGATTTGAGAAGGGATTTAAAAATAAAAAGATAAAAAGTAAATGAAATATAAATAAAATATATCTACATTTCATATAATTTCACACATTTTTTTTTTTACTTTTTCAAACCTCTTTTCAAATCACCAACCAAACATAACATTAGAGCACCACATCACGATATCCAAGAATAACCAATAACTTCTCGTCCCATAGATTATAATAGTTACATATAACATTGCTTAGAATTTAAATATATAAATTACATTTATTTCGAGTACATTTTACATTCATAATATTTAAAGAGTAATGATTGAAATTTTCACTATCACAAGACCCTTATAGATGTAGATAATTCATGATGTGAACCTCACACATACATAAAGGGTCAAGATCACTTGGGGGTATGAGGTCATTCCCAAAAGGATCCCAAACATTTTCCATATTTAAATTTACACTACAAATCCAACTTTTTTGTGCATTTTTTTTTAATATTTTATGAAGTGCAGTTTTGTTCACATATGATACTGTGTAAACAAAAACAAATAAAATAAAATAAAATAAAAAATACTGCGTGTAAATAAAACTCAATTTTTTATTGATCGGAAATAAAAGAATCTACCACTTGGTCAAAGCAACATACTTTTTGAAGGAAAGGATCACTGTTTTGGATACTGTTTACACAAAACTAATTTTTATTTTTATAAATATGTATATGTATAATAATAAAAACCCAAAAGCATATCAGGGTAAATACATATTAGTAACATATGATTAAATATTAAGGCCTAGTTTGGGAAGACTAATTAAGTGTACTTTTTGACTTTTTTTGTATTATGTGTAGAAAAAGTAGAGAGGAGATGTTGATTGATGTGACTCAAAAAAGATAAAAAGATGAAATAAGTGCACTTTTTTCTTTATAGCTAAACTTGGCCTAAGATCAAAAAGTCTACGACTAAGAAACAATGATTAAAAATTGAATCTGAAAAGTAACATACAATCGAGATGTATAATTATATAGTAAGATCAACATACAAAATTAATCAATTATTCAATATTTTTTTTTAAAGGTTTTTTTTTTTTTTTTCCTTCTAAGGTTTTAAAATTTGGCACGGCGTCTCCACAAGTGGCTCAAGTGGGCCTGTGACAGATTGGCTGAGACCCAACTTTTGACACTTTTTGCATACTTTTTTATTTTCTTGAAAGTAATTGTGTAACCTTTTTTATTAGTTCTAGTAAACCAGCGGAGTACTGAGTTCAAGTTTAATTGAAAATTTTAATGCGTTTTACAATATATCTTAGATTGATTTGTTTAATTTTTAGATTGATTTCGAATGAGTTTCAATTAAGCTAATCATAAATTCGAGTATCTTGAATTTTTTTTACAATATATATAAACTTAGAGTGATATTAAAGACTCACACATTTGACTTACAAATTCGTTCACAATGATGTGATCTCAATCATTGAGTATCTAACAAATCAAAAGATGACACGTATTCTAACATACCATTCTAAGAGTTTTATTTGAAAACTCAGATAATTTTTCATAAACTTAATGACCTAAACCCAAAATATATATATATATATATATATACATACAAAAGTAATAAACACTAAAAAAATGCATATAAAATAAGAAATAATATTATGAGCATAAAAATGGAGAATATGAAAAGATGTGTAGATGAATTGAAAAATATTAAGAAAGAGAAATATATACACACAAAGTAACAAATACTAAAAAAATACATATAAGATAAGAAATAATATTACACTGACCTTGTAATGATTTTTTTCAGATCATCAAACTTGCAAAATGTAACAATGGAGAAGATGAGTTATTCTGAGAAATAAAAGATGGATAGATGAGAAAATGATTGAATTTGATTGGAATAAATTGAATAAAGAGGTGTGTGTGAAAGTTATAGGAGTTCCGGGTTTTTTTTTTTTTTTTTATTAAATTGAGATTGAGAGTGAGATAGATATTATTGTAGGTGATGGATATGGATGAATATTTTATTATTTGGAAATAAATATTATTGTTGGTGATGGACATGGATAAATATTTTAATATTTTATATTTTATATAGGGAGAGAGAGTATGAAAAGGCTTGAAGAGGAAAAAGAGAGGTGAAAGACAGTGCCACATAATACTTTTATTCTTTCAAAATTATGAGAATTTAGGATTCAAGTTTTGAAACTTTTTGACAAAATAACGACATTTGGTTATAGATATCGTATAGATTTGTGAAAAAAGCCTTTAAAAAATGCACTAAGGGGTGGTTTGGAATAATCTAAATAAGTGCACTTTTTGATTTTTTACGAAAAGATGTGCAGAAAATTAGAGAGGTGACGTGATGAAAAAAAGATAAAAAGATAAAAAGTGTGTACTTATTAGTACATCCCAAAAAATACAAAAAAAAGAAAAGAAAAGAAAAGAAAATTCAATATATTTTTCGTATTTTTTTGTATTTATTAATTTTTTAAAATATTTTTTCACAAATATTTTACTATTTAGATACATCTAAGTAAGGTGCATCTAAAAAAAATAAAAAAATTGTTTAAAATTTAAAAAATATTCACTAAAAACAAAACAAAAAAATTTTAAATTTTCAAAAAAAATGAAATCAAACACACTGCTTATTAATAATAATATTCATGTTTAATTCCGATTCAAATGTTTGGCTAAGTTAGAAATCCTCAATCTACTTGCTTTATTCTTTAACGAGACAATTTTTTTTAGGACTGGAATAGAATTCCGTACTTGATGTGGAATCTCATTTTGTCTAAGGAATCAAAACTAGGAATCACGTTTTCATTCCTGAAACAATGGAATAAAGAGAGTTGAAATGGATCTCGTGGTGAAAGGGATTCTTGCATTGGGATGAATTACAGGTTTGGTTTAGTTGTAATTGATACAAGTGATTTGTAGGTATCAAAGATTTACTTGGCCCACCATACGAAGAAATAGAGCAATTAATTTCGATAGGGTTTAGGAAAGTCAAGGTCCGCATGACAATTTCAATGATCAAATACCACACTTGTTGAAGTTGAGAAATTTGACTAGCCTCAAATCTGGATACACAATAGCTGTCTGTGTCTGATATGGATTGACATTACCATTTTTATTAATAAGTTTTTCTTAATATATAATATATATATATATATATATATAATATTTGAGAATACCTCATGTTTTCAATAATTTAGAAGAAAAAAAAGAAAATAAGTTTTGCATGATGTATTTGATGTTTTAAATATTTTTATTAGTTTTCAGATTCAGAAATATAGACTTAGGCTATGTTTGGCATGCCCATTTGGGCTAAAATAGCCATATATAACAAAATTAATTATTTTAATGAAATAGGACAAAATATCACATCTAAATCATAATATTTTAAAAAAAAATAATCCCAAATAAGACTTTTTAACTCCAGGCTAAAATAGTAAAAAAAAACTAAAAAATTAACTCACATTTCAAACGAAGGCTAATAATAATAAAATGAAAACAAGGTCCCCAAAAAATAATGTTTGTGTTTTTGAATTCTTGATTATTTATATTTTCAAAGCTCAAGAAGCCAAAACAAAAATAGTGAATATGATAACCAAAAAGGCATTAAATACTTTTTTTATTTTTATTTTACTGAAACATATAGTTCCAATTATTCCTAACATTAAAAGCAAAAAAGATAATAAAAAATAAAAAGTAAGAAAGAAAGAGAGAAATTCTCCCACAATGGCTTGAAGTTTTTGAGTACTATTACCGTCACATTTTTTTTTTTTTATAATATTTTTTATTGCTTACTCACTGTGAGAGTAGACCACACATCATCACATGTTAGGATTGTTTTGTGCAATTTATAAATTTACAATTCTTTACAATATTTTATTTTGTGCAAAATTCTATTAATTAAATTTTTTATTAGAAGCCACTACCATTTGAGACTGTTTGGTGCAGTTTTATAGATTTATAATTTATTTTGTTTTTTAAATTTTATATAGTGTTTAATATAATTTCTATTTATAACTTATGAAAATAAATAACTTATATAAGTTAATTATTAAAAAATAATTTTATTTTTTATTATTAATTTTTAATTTGTAAAAAATTATATCAAACACGGTGATTGAATGGGACTCCAAGTCGGCAGACTCGAAGAGAGTGTGAAGGTGGACTCCACAAAAGGCCAATCTTGAAAAGATTCTCAGTTTGTTTATTTATTTATTTATATTTTATTTATTCCCTTTTTTTCTTAAAATCAAAAAAACATGCAACGTATTGTTAAAAAAAAAATTAAAAAAACCCAGATTACAAAATATGAGATCGATCATATAGCCACACAAGATCTTATGTCCCTATTTTTCCCTCCACATATTTCAAATTATTTATTTGTCATACGATAAGTTTGACCGTATAAAAAGAGATAATTTGAGACAATGGGTCAAGCCCGTGTGGTGATTTTTAGATCCAATGGGTCAAGCCCATTTTGCCCATAACCTCCCTTTCTACAAAACTTGGGCACCCCTTGGGGTGTGCCCCGAGGTCCAATCCCGTGCCTTATAAACCCACTCAAAACATCCCACCAAATCAATGTGGGACAAGCCATTTTCCAACCTTAAGGAATTTCCACCAAAACTCCATTTCCGTGGAGCTCACTTTGGCTTCAATTTCCCATTCACCCGATAATGGTTTTGAGCAACCAAATATACCACGTGAATCACAACGCGGCATAGAACGCGTTACCGCTTAGACCCGCCAAAATAGACGTACGGGTCCCACCTAAATAATAGACTAAAGTTAGCAAAAAATTCTGTTTTTACCCATAATTTTTCAACCATTTCCAACAAATTGTTATAAAGTAGGGATTAGTTTTAGGTGTGAAAGTATTTTATGAAAAAAATTGAATGTTTGATTGTGATGCTTGCATTTAGACAAGACCATGTGCATTGTGGTTACATGAAATATTATTGGCCATTCAGATTTGCCAGCTCTAAGGTTGTGTTTTTCAAGCCCGATTTGATCATGGTCGATTCTCATTATTGAATCTATTGATAACCGGACTAGTAAATCTATTTGTCCAAAAAAAAAGGGGTCAAAAAATTTATTGAGAATTTGATTATGCGGGCTTTTTAATAAAAAGGCGCTTCTATGATGAAGGAGGTATTGTGGACTATCTTGTACATTATTTGTAGTGCTCATGGCGAACACATAGCCCAACTACCACCTTGAGGCATGGACAACACATTGCCCAGCCAACACCTAGAAGTATTGTCCGCTTTGGCCTAAAGCATGATAGCTGGAGAGCCGCACGGATTTATTCCTTTGATTTCCCAAGGACGCCTCCACAATGGAAGTGTCCAATGCTATCTTATAAGTCTATTCTAAATATTATATACAATCCATGTGGGATGGCAACACATATTTGAAACAAGATAATTGAGAATATTATCCGCAATCGATGTGGGATGGCAACCCATATATTTAAACAAATGATATAATAATAAATATATAGCTTGGACATGAACATTGAATGATATAATAACAAATAGATAGCTTAGCCATGAACTTTGAATACATCATATTAATATTTTTTTCAAAACCGGTGTTGTTCAATGATCAATTTTATTGAATTATTTTAGAAAATTTGAAATTATTTTCAAATTTTCAAAACTTTAATTTATATTTCTTTATTTATCTTGATGAAACGCATATCAGGGTAAATACATATTAGTAACATATGATTAAATATTAAGATCAAAAAGTCTAGGACTAAGAAACAATGATTAAAAATTGAATCTGAAAAGTAACATACAATCGAGATGTATAATTATATAGTAAGATCAACATACAAAATTAATCAATTATTCAATATATTTTTTTAAAGGTTTTTTTTTTTTTTTTCCTTCTAAGGTTTTAAAATTTGGCACGGCGTCTCCACAAGTGGCTCAAGTGGGCCTGTGACAGATTGGCTGAGACCCAACTTTTGACACTTTTTGCATACTTTTTTATTTTCTTGAAAGTAATTTGTGTAACCTTTTTTATTAGTTCTAGTAAACCAGCGGAGTACTGAGTTCAAGTTTAATTGAAAATTTTAATGCGTTTTACAATATATCTTAGATTGATTTGTTTAATTTTTAGATTGATTTCGAATGAGTTTCAATTAAGCTAATCATAAATTCGAGTATCTTGAATTTTTTTTACAATATATATAAACTTAGAGTGATATTAAAGACTCACACATTTGACTTACAAATTCGTTCACAATGATGTGATCTCAATCATTGAGTATCTAACAAATCAAAAGATGACACGTATTCTAACATACCATTCTAAGAGTTTTATTTGAAAACTCAGATAATTTTTCATAAACTTAATGACCTAAACCCAAATATCTGTAATTAACAAACTTGTAAAATATTTTTAAACTTAACTTGTTAAGATTCTCTTACGAGAAAAAAACTGTCAAAATTTGAGTGGGATAGGCGGAGAAAGTTAGGTAGATGGTTGGATAAAGTGAAAGGTCGCAAACAACTGAGTGATGTTGGAGGAGAGCTATTTTACAGTATGTCCTAACATTTAAGAATAATTTGAGAAGTTAGTTAAAAGTTAGTTTTTAATTTTTAAAACATTTAGAGCCACAATACTTCTCATATTTTTAAAAATAAAAAAAAATTCAAAAATCAACTTTTAATTAACTTCTCAAATCATTCCATAGTCACCTAATCTAAGTAAAAAAACAAAAAAAAAAACTTAAAAAGTTAACCTATATCCCAAACGAAGTGGGATTGAGCTTAAAAGGCCGGGCCGGAGACGACTTACCGGAAAAGAGAGACCTGAACGAGAGTGCTGGGCCACCACATGTGGGCCGGTTCCACCACATACTTCCTCAGCAACCCAGCCCATCCATATCCCAACACCTGCAATAATATTTTGTTTTCATAAAACAAGAAAAACACTTTCTAAAAAAAACTCAACCAATCACTGAGAAAACAATTTTATTACCTGGGTAGTGACGATAAGCAACCAACCAGCCAGAAATGAGATTTTCCTTTTGTAAAATGCTTTGATGATATCAATAATGCCAACAGCATAAGCTGGTCCATTTCCAAAAGCACTTCCGGCATTAGCAAAAATAGTAATAAGTACATGCTCCTTCATGTTAAATGGGCCCGGGTTGAGAGAAAACAACTTGGATCCGCACCCAGGGATCCGGAACTGAGCCTTTGGGAGGACAGCGTGGAGGAAGTGGCCGATGGGGAGGACGGCGACTTGGACGGTGATTTGGGTTATGATAAGCGGCTCGGTTCGGTATGAGAAGAATTGGTTGAGGAAAGAGAGGAGAGAACACGATAATATGCCGAGGAACCACATCCGGAAGGTCCATACGGGTAGGGTCGGGTCATCAGTGTTGGTTACGGTTAGGCGGACTTGTTCGACAGGGGAGACATCATCGTCGTAGTCATCCTGACCGACGGTGGTGATTGTAGTAGTAGTGGCTGGATATGGTGTTTGTACTTCTAAAGTTTCCATGCGGAGAGAGAGAGAGAGAGAGAGAGAGAGAGAGAGAGGAAGGAGATATATAAGTGAACCAAGCTAAACCAAAGATGAGATGAGTGGCATAGGAAGGGGTATATAATTGGGTTTTGGGGATGATGGGTAGGCTAATGCTTTTAGGCTATATTTATTTGGGTGGATATGAGTTTGAGATTAGACTAATAATCTAATATAATTATTAATTTGATATTTGGTTAAATAATTGAAGTATGGACTAATTATTTTAAACTTGACTATTAGTTAAGATAGGATACATAATCCAATGGATTCGTAGTCTTAGGACTATTAGTCATGGGAATGCTAATCCAGTCCGTCTAAACAAACATGGCCTTAGTCTATTAACTATAATTAACTTTGGTGTTTGTAAGAGCATCTCCAATTATTATTGTTATAATGTTATTGTTATTATTATAATTTGATAATAAATAGTATTATTTTATCAAATTATAACAATAGTGCTTTAATGGTCATTTGTTATTTTGACAAATCTCAACTAATTTTCTTTCTAAATTTGTAGGTGTTGTTTGGATATAAGTTTTTTTGTAATTTTATTTTTGTTTATTTTTTGTCTTTTGTGATATATTTTTTTATTTATTTGTTAAAAAAATTATATATTTATATCATTTCCAACTAGACAAATATAAAAAATTTTAAAAAATGAAAAATTTGGGGAAAAAAAATGTTTGATTAATATAATTAATATTTAAAAAAAAAAAAACCAAATAGAGCCCAATGGCTCTTTTATACACTGAGGCCTTGTTTGGGAACCAACCTATTTAGCCAAAAAGTAAAAAAGTTACTAAAAAAGTCAAAAAATCAACAACTCATACAAAAAAGTTAAAGATTCTCTTTTCTCTCTACTTTTTGCACATCTTTTCGTAAAAAGTCAAAAAGTCATCCCAAACATGCTAGCTTTTTTTAGCTCATATTTTAGTCAAATAGCCAAAAGTTACTAAATTAGCATGTTCCCAAACGAGGCCTGAGGCATCACTCTGTTTCCAAACATCTAGAATGATCCATTCTTTTCCTCTCCTTCTCACTCTGTCTTCCTCTCCTCACCACTCTCCATTCTCTTCTATGATCGAAACCCCTCTCACTCTCTAACTTTGTCTTCTTTTCACTCTCTCACTTTGTTTCCCTCTTCTCAAACCATTCCCCATTCTCCTCTATGATCGAAACCCCTCTCTGACTCTCTCACTATCTCACTCGGTCTCCTCCTCAGTCTCTCACTCTGTCTTCTCCCTCTCTCACTCTGTCTCCCTCTCATTCTCTCAATCTGTCTTCTTCTTTTCTCTGTTTTCACCGAGTCCCTTCTCCTCCTCCATGATCGAAACGTCTCTCTCTCTTTCTCTCTTTACCTATGAAGCTCCGATCTGTCTCCCTCTCAATCTTCACCTCCGATCGGTGTATGATCTGTCTGTATACATACTCATATCTGATCTGTCTGTAAAAATACTCATATCTGATGTATACGATATGTCTGTATACATACTCATCTTCACCTCCGATTTGTCTGTGGTACAATCTCCATCTATATACATACTCATATATATATATATATATATATGTTTTGATCTGTCTTCCTCCCAGTCTTCATGTGTTGATTTTTTCTTTATTTTTTTAGTTGTTGATGTGGATCTGAGGTGATCGTGATTTTTGAAACGCAAAGTTGGCGATGGATTCAAACTGGATCTTCATCCAACTCAAATTTGATATGTTTTTTTTCCAAATTTTCTTAATTATTTTTTTGGATCAATTTTTGTTCATCCATCAATTTTTGATATATGTCTTATTGAATTTTTTATATCTGTTCATCCATCTATATACATACTCAAATCTTATTGATTTGGTGATAAATGAATTAAAAAAAAAAAAATTGAGAAACTTAATTTGGATTTGTCAATTTCATTTTGAAATTTGTTTGATTCTGAAAATTGGGTTTGATTCTGAAAAATGGGTTCCATACTGGATTAATTCTGTTGTTTTCAATTGAATTTGGTGCCAAATTGCTGTTGATTTTTGCTGATTTAGCAAACTTGGCATCTGCTATTTCATTTGCCAAATTTGAGAACACATATGGCATCTGCCATCTTTGACAAGTGAAATAGTAGACCATTGGAGATAACTTTTTGCCATTCTTGTCATTTTTTTGCTTTGACAAGCGAAATAACAACTCCATTAGAGATGCTCTAAGGTTGATAATGGAAAGTCAAAACAAGTGAGTGGGGGAAGATAGTGTGTAAAATGGAAAACAAGTTTTTCTACTTATCACAAAATAGTATTATGAAAATTATTATTAAAATACACCTTAATAAAAACAAAACAAAACAAAGCTCGGGAATAATCTTCAACACATTATTTTCATTGTCTTTCATTTATCACAAAAGAAAAATTATTCGATAATCTTGTCGTTGTTGGTGTCAATTCCTTGTAGTATTATCATTTCCATGTGAAATAAATACAGAATAAGGAGTGGAAATGGACATGATATTGATGAGTGATCAAATACATAGTCTCAATTTTGTAATTTTCTTTTTTAAATTGCTAATTGGTAAATTACATTAATATCTCCTTAAATTAAAAAAAAAATACAGTAAATTTGCAATTTAAAATAATTACACCAACTTCCTTTTTAAGTAAAATTAAATGAATCAAAACTAATGTAAATGATATAAGAATAATTAAATATATATATATATATATATATATAGTTCAATATATAAGATATGACAATATCAATTTTTATTAATTACCCAAAAAACATTATCATTTTTTATTCATTTTTATTTCTAGATGAATTAATAATTAACGATTTTATTGCTAATATCAAGCACATGAAATGTTATATTTTTTTGGACAAAAAAGTTATCCCTTTCCTATACTTCCACCTTCACTCTCTCCCTCTTTCTCTGTCCTACCTTCCTGTGTAACTGGGCTGCAAAACCTTTGCATTCAAGGATGAGACCAAATTAGGAGTGGAGGCACATCCCATTTGCCTGTAGCTTAAGCACTAATGAAGGTTGCAATCACTCACTTACTCCAAGTCTCCAACTGTCCGCAACTAATTCAAAATTGGCAAAGTTGTATTCTTGTAACTGAGGGTGGAAATTAAGAAAGACACAAATAACTTAAAGAATAGGTTAGAAAAGGTGTTATCTATGACATCATTTCCTAAAATTTTTAGGGATTAGATGTTTTTCCGTTGGAATATTCAGTTCGACGGTTCAACCTAACCAACTATGGGTCAACTTTAGACTTATCGTTGTTCAACTTGTAAGCCTCATTTAGTAGATTATTCATATAAAAAATTAACTTAATCGAACATCGGGAACCACTAATCAAATCATATTTTTTTGAAAATAATTAATAAACAATATGATTTTGAAAGTAGTCTATCTATCTTTTTAGACCAATGAGATCCCGATGAAGTGGCTACCAATGTCCGATAAACCTGATTTTTAGTATGGTTGATCTGTTTTCAAAAGATCTTACGAAATGAATGATTCAAACGAATTATTGAAATAAGACCTTAGTGAGCCCTATAAGACAAATTCAACATCGAATGGCTTATTGAAGTTGACTTCTAAGCCTCTTTTTGGATAGAGAGTTAAAAGTCACTTTTTGACTAATTTCTCAAAAACAACTCTTACAATTAAAAACATTTTTTTTAAAGTTTACATCTTAAATAAGAAACATTAATACAACTAATAGGTTATTAGGTTGGTCTAAATCAATAAATATAAGGCTACAGATTTTGACCGCAAATTTTATTTTTTGACGAGATGAGTTTCCATAAAATGAAAATTTAAGTTTATTTTCAAATCAATAAATGAGTTCATAGATAATCATTATTTGTGTATAGAATTTTTATATGTGATTTTTATGATCTCTTCATTTTTAATTAAAACATTTACTATTATCTATCATAATATAAAAATATCATAGACACATCATTGGAGGTATTTTTTGTATAAAATTTCTTTGTATAAATCATTTTTTTTTTATATAAAACCAAAAAAAGAAAAGAAAATTAAAAGGCCACTGTCATTATTTTAGTTACTATTATCACATTTGAGATTTAAATTACAAGTGCAACTTAAATTGTGGGAAGCAACCTTCTACCTATTAAATTATACAATTTAGCATGTGTAGCTATGTATGGCTCTTAGAATATGTTTGATTGGACGATTGAATTAGAGGGAATTAAAATCTATCGGATTTGAATCTTCAGACTGTGAATCCCCTAAATTATTTGGTTAGATTTGATGTGTATCCCATGCTTATTTTTTCATGGGATTAGATGTCTGGAAATGATTATTTTTAGTGAATCCAATGTATGGTTGGACGGACTAGATAGGATAAATGAGCAAAAGATTATTTTACCTTTTTTCAATTGTTTACTAAGTAATAGTAATATTAAACATATCTTTAATATTTTAATTATTTTTAGTTAGATTAAATAAAAATTTAGTTTATTTTATTTTTTACACAAATTAAATAAATTTATTTTTTAAAAATTAAATAAATAAAAGAAATAAAATATCAATAAAAATATACGTTATTTTTTTAATTAAAATTTTAAATAAATTTATTTAAAAAAATAATAATAATTAAATAATGAAATTAAATAAAACATCTATTAAAATTTAAATAATGAAATTAAATAAAATATAAACAAAATTTTAAAATAAAACATCAATAAAATATCTATAAAAAATTATTTTAAAAAATTAAATAAATAAAACATCAATAAAAAAAGTTAAATAAAATTATTTTATTTTTAAATTGAGACGTTTAAATTTTATTGAATTTTACTAAATATAATACATAATTAAATAGTAGAGGGTCAAAATGATCATTTCATCACTAATCCCAACAGTAAATAATCAGATGAAAATTGTCCCACACCCCCCCAGGATACAATAGTTCCTCATATGGGGATAAGGAATTCGGTCGGACTCCATGTCCGGCGGAGTAAAACAAAAACAAACATCAGATAAAAAACTTTCCCCAAATTACAATCCGAACAGTGAATAATCTCCCCTAATCCCC